TCAGCTTGAACTTACACAATTGGAGAAATAATAAGCCATCTTACTGAAATGACCCTCAGAAAACAGAGAATCTCTTTACATGTTTCACTACTCATCACCCTAACTGGGCTGCATGCAGGCCTTCATGAACACCCTCCTGTGGAGAAGCACAGGATGGTATTAGGGAAGGCTGCCTGAATCACACAGAACAAGGAAATGGGGACCCACTCCAGTGTTCTTGCCTGGAGAATCCTGTGGGCAGAGGAGCCTGGTGGGCTGCTGTCTATGGGGTCTCACAGAGTCGGACATGACTGAAGTGACTTAGCATGCATGCATGCATTGGAGAAGGAAACGGCAACCCACTCCAGTGTTCTTGCCTGGAGAATTGCAGGGACGGGGGAGCCTGGTGGGCTTCCATCTATGGGGTTGCACAGAGTCAGACACGACTGAAGTGGTTTAGCAGCAGCAGCCTAAATCACAACCAAATCATCAAATCAGGACTTGGGAGGCACAGACCATGCCTGGAGCTGACCCAGAAGGGACCCCAGTGACCCAAGGGGATTGAGCAAGGCTAAGGAATGTTTAATAACCAGACCTCAACGGGGGTCCTGAACCAAATAGCTTGACCGAGATCCAGGGAGTATAGCAAGGGCCCAGGGGAACACCTCCCCTTTCCCTGAGAGGGCTGAAGGCTGACAGACGATACACTGCTGTGGATGTGGGACACCCAGCTGGACCTGCCCTGATGCCCTCTTCCCTTGTGGGGAACATCAAGTGCACTCCCAGGCCAAGCCTCTGCCCTCCAAGCTGCACCTTTACAGTTGGAAGATCAAGCCTCATCTGGACGTCCTGAAGAAATTCTGCACAAGGTTAAGAGCGATGTTTGGAATGATAGAAGGCCAGAAAGAGCCAAGACAGCTGTCCCGGTAGCAGTAAAACTCTGTCCAGGGGACAAGGTTCCAAATTTAAGTAAGTAAGTACCAGTCATTCAGTCATGTCTGACTCGTTGCCACCCCATGAACTGTAGCCCACCAGGCTCCCCTGTCCATGGAATTTCCCAGGTACGGATACCGGAGTGGGTAACCATTCCCTTCTCCAGGGTAGCTTCCTGACCCAGGAATTGAACCCAGGTCTCCTGAAGTGCAGGCGGATTCTTTACCCTATGAGCCATCAAGGAAGTCCAAATATAAAGCAACAGGCATCTAAAGAGGCACATGAAGGAATGTATAAAGCCTCTGACAATCACCTTCTTTAAATATCAGTTATTCAGACCTTGTTGATCTTCATGTAACACTTCCATCCCATCCATTACAAAAACCCAGGACCAGAGATAACTGTTCTATTCATGATTTGAAGGCCATTAACCAAATTGTAGAGGAAATAATGTGATGATGTCAAATCCATAGATGTTGCTTACAACTTTATCTGGAGACTTTTGCTGGTTTATAGTTTTGGACTGGAAAAAAGATGCCTTTTACTGAATACCCCTAAGTCCTGAGTCCTTGGGGTTTGTCTTTTAATGGGACGATCCAGAGACTGATGTGAAACAACAACACTGCTGGATGGAACTCCCACAAGGATTTAAGAACACCCCCACCATCTTCAGGGAAGCTTTCACCATGGACTTAATGGATTTCCCATTAAATGAGGGAGCCTTACTCCAATGTGTGAATAACTGCTAGTAGAACTAAGGAAACTTAAGACCAAAATACGATTAGATAAAGTTTTCAAGGGAAGAGCACACAATTTCTCAACCAACTCTAAACTAGTTAAGGTTTGAAGTATCAAAAGGACAAAGAAATTTACTGCCAGATGGAAGAGAGACATTAACTAGGGTGACTGCAGCCACCTCCAGAAGGCGCTTGTGAGGATTCCTAGGAATGGCTGAGTATTGTTGTCTTTGGACTCCTGATCTTGGACTCAGCCAAACACAAACATGAGGCTCTTAAAGGAAATGACAATAAGCTATTAAGCTGGACTCTGAGCTGTCATAATGTGTTCCACACCACCGAGGAGAAACTTTGAAGAGCGTAGCATTTGGTTGCCCAGGTATTTTGTGCATGAAAGATGGGGCGTGAGTCTTGGAGCTAAGTCAACACTTAGATACCAACAGAAGGCCTGTAGCTTACTTTTCTAAACAACTGGGCACCTATATCAAGGATTGCCAGTTTGCCTCTGGGCTGTGATTGCTGCCTTTCACAAGAGGCTGAAAAATGAACCCTCGGCACACCCCACATCATGCACTGCCTTTACCAGAACAAAACAGTGGATATGGGCTTACTTCAGGGAGATGGGGCAAATACCAGGCACACTACTCGACATCCTGAATGTCACCTTACAGGCAGTATCTACCCTAGACCCAGCTACTCTGCTGTCCAGGACAACAAGAGAGCCTGCTCACAACTGTATACAAATAACTGAAGACCTGACCTGACTGGTCAGCCTTTAGAAATACTCAAGGATGGGACCAGTTTCACAAACAAGGGGGGTGTGCAGTTGTAGCTCATCAGGAAGCCCTGGAAGCATAAGCCAGCTTCCAGGTCCTTCTGCCCAGAGCTCACTGCCCTCATCACACTCTGAGCCTACGAGCTACAGTGACCACACACACTAACTCCAAGTCTGCCTTCTCTGTTGTATGTGTGTGTGGGGCCACCTGGAAAGAGAGGTCCACTGATGTCAGGAAGGAGAGAAATGAAACACACAGAGGAGACACAAGCCTTATTATTAATAAATGCTGTTAAAATGCCAGGAGGAGCAGCCGTTGGGTGCTGCCTGGGTCACCCAAAATGGATTATCACTTAATTAAAGGAAATAATTAGGTGGATCCAGTGGTACAACAAGCATCCAGAACCAAAAGCCCAGATTCAGAGACCCTACCACTAATTCTGAGTGTGGACCATGCTTGCTGAAGCCTCGGATCTGGAAATGGATCATCCAGCATGCACGGGGAGTTCATGCAGACTCTGGGGACTTAGACGGCGGTCAGGACAAACAGCCACAGAGGCCGGGTTTATGATGGGTTTATCCCAAACGTTTAATGGACAGAATTTTACTCATCTACACCAAGGAACCCGTGATGGGAGGGCTGCGACATGTCATGGACTCCAGCAGTTCATTGTTGGTAAATGCAAATGAGCATCCGAAAGGTAATCCTAACTCCTGATCTGCACCAGAAATAGTCCTAAAACTGGGCCACCCTGATGATAAAAGGGTTGCATGCCCGAGGGACAGATCCAGGGGATGGTGGTTAAATAGACTTCATTGTTACACCAAGTGCCAGGGACACTGTAGAAATGTCTAGGCGCTGGTGATGCCATCGCGGTGGCAAGGCTTTTCCACATAGGACAGAGAAAGGTTCTGCAGTAACAGAGGCCTTCCCCCAAGAAATAATCCCTTGTCTGAGGTCGCCTCTTCCGATTCAAACTGACAACAGAGGAGCTCTCATGGCTGAGGTGACTCAAAGGTGTCAAGACCCTTGGAACATGATGAAGCTCATGGTTCTTGGAGACCTCAGTCCATGGGGAAACAATGAATCATTCCTTCAAAAAGACAGTCGCCAAGACAAGCCAAGAAACCAGAGTAACCTGGGATAAGGTCTGACCAGCTTCCCTGCTGAGGGTCAGAGTGGCCCAGAAAACAAGCTCCTATTGAGCCTGTACACGACGTTCTACAGGAGACCTTCCTGAAGGTCTCAATGGTAACAGCATTACATTTGATAAAATGTGGTGCTGTCTTCTCTTCTATACATAAATATGTGTCTAGCCCATTAGGGTTTCCCAGGGACATCCGCTCGCACTGCACAAGCCCCAGTACTGCATCCTCCTCACACTTGGACAAACCCATACAGTGAGAATCCGTGCAGGCATGTGAAATAGCCCCTGTGACGTCCTCCTGGTTACACATCCTCCAGGAAAGCTAAAGTAGTCACACCCTGGCCACCCCACTCCCAGGTACTTTAAGTAACTCTTCAAAAGGAAACAGACAACTAAGACTCCACCTGGCCAAGACGAGAAGACAGTAGCATCTCAAAAGCAGACCACTTTGACCTAAGAGTCTGGGACAGGCCTACATAAATCCAAATTCAATCACTAAAATGTTAAAAACAGGTTTTCATGGATTCCCAAAGAAATAAGGTCTGTTTGGAAGGACTGTTAAAGTTAGGAGCCATAGTTCTGTGTATCTCAGGGTTAATCCTCTTACTCATCAAATTCTGTCCTCATTGTCCACCTCCTACATTTAAAGAGCACTGCCCCCCACAACCTACCCCCCCGCCCCGGACCCTGCCCAGACTCACAGGATGATTGCCTGAGACTTCAGAGTTCAAGGGGGGGACACGCAAATATTTATAGGTAAGCGCAAAACAATTTCATTCCTCTCATAAAAACCCAAATCCCTCATCAGCAGGAAGCAGCTAGCAGAAGGCCTCACCCCTACTTCCCTCAAGACTGAGGCACGAACAAAGAAAATGCATGCAAAATATCACCAAGCTTAAACGGACATAGGTGTACTGAGGAAACCTGCAGTTACTGTAGGGAGACAGCACCGTGCAAGTACAAGATGGGCCCCCCTACCCACGCCCCCCCCTCAACCCCTGCTCCCTAGCTGTTTCCAGGACGACCACAAACCCAGTATTTTCAGTCTGCAGATATCGGAGCATAGAAAAGCTGCCACACTTGTGCTTTAGAAAGTGAGGAGTCCCTCAGTGAGGACGACCTGGCTCCAGCATGAGGTGCTAACTGTGGACTATCATCAAGGCAGCTTCCAAGCTTGAAATTTCCTAAACCCTTAAATTCCACCCTGATCCCTGGATCGAGAACTGGATTTGAACCTTGCCTCCTGTCTCCCTGCTGGTCCAACTCGCAATGGAGCTTTTTCTTTTCTCAAAAGCCAGGGCCATAATACTTGCTTCTGTGTGCTTGGGGAGCCAAGCCCTTGCCTTGTAACAGAAATCTCTTCTCTCACATTAAAAGTAAGAGTGGAAGTCCACGCAAAGCATCACATCTCCGCAACCAGAGTCCTACCTGACCCGAGGAGGAGGGTTCCCAGTGACTCTGCACTCCAGGTAGACCCGACTACCTTCTGCCACTTCTTGGCTCCGCAGCTTCTGGATGAACCGGGGAGCGGCTGGGGGGTGGCAGGCGCTGAGGGGCGGTGGGGACGAGGGGCTGCGGCTGGGCCGGGCCACATCCTGGGCCACCGGAGGGTGATGCCCGGGCGCTGGGGGCCTGGCCCCGGCCTCCACGTCCTGCCGGTCCCGGGTGAGGTGATGCCCAGGCGCCAGGGGCCTGGCCCCGGCCTCCACGTCCTGCCGGTCCCGGGTGGGGTGATGCCCAGGCGCTGGGAGCCTGGCCCTGGCCTCCACGTCCTGCTGGTCCCGGGTGGGGCTGCGGCTGGCCGAGGCGCTCCTTGGGTCTGACGGCTGGTTTTTAGGGGACAGGTACCCGCTGTCCGGGGACGAGGACTCCCCGTCCGGGCTCCTGGTTCTGGGCTTGGCGGCTTCTCGGAATATGGAGGTCAGTTCCTCGATAAGGGTGGCCGCCTTGTCGTTCAGCGGGCTCTGGGGGCCGGCCCTGCCAGGGCGCGCGACCCTGGGCTTGGCGCTGGCGCCGGGGGCCTTGGCCACCTGCTTCCCAGCCTTGCGCAGGCTCCGGATGTAGCTGGGCCTGGCCAGCAGGGGCGAGACTCCAGGCTTCCTCCGCGATGCGGGCGAGGAAATGCGCTCGGCTTGCTCGGCTGGCGGAGGCGTGGCAGGTGCCCGCCTGCCGTCCCCAGGTGTCCCCGGGGACGCACGCTCGCCCGGCTGGGCCTCCTGAGGGGCGGGCGGCTTCTGGCGGCTCCTGGGCGAGGGGCTGCAGCGCTGCGGGACCTCCTCGCAGGCGCAGTCATCCGTCTCCGAGCTGGCTATGGCTCTGCGGGCCAGGTCCAGACTCTTGTGGATCTCCTCCTGGCTGAGGAAGGCCGACAGCCCCGGGAAGAAGGCCGCATTCTCGCCGTCCTCCAGCAGGTCCGAGAGCGAGTCGTAGAAGGAGTCGTGGGAGGACGTCTCGGACATAGTCGAGAGGCGCTCATGCACTCGGTCCGCTTCCACAGGAAGGCCGGTGTTTTGAACACAGGCTCTGAAGGACAGGAGACACACCTGTGTTAGTAGGAACGACTGGGGGTGTGTGTGTGTGTGTGTGTGTGTGTGTGTGTGTGTGTGTGTGTGTGTGTGTGTGTGCGTGCGCGCGTGTGACCACGGCACTACTCATCCACAAGTTGGGAGAAACATTAAGAGGAAAACATACCTTCTAAATAATTTTCCTCTATAAGGTGGAAGAAGTGTCAAGCATACCTGTGTTTATCGTTGACCACTTTTCCTAATTTTTTAAATTCTATTTTTATTTATTTGACCATCTGGCTTGTGGGATCTTACTTCCAGAATGGAAGTAAGTGCAGGATGGAACCTGCACTGCCTGCAGTGAAAGCGCAGAGCCCTAACCACTGGGCCCTCAGGGAAGTTCCTTGCTCATTATTTTAATTTGATATTTGCCCGTGAGTGAATACCAAGCATCTTCCTGTGCTGTGCTGCGCAAGTTGCTTCAGTCATGTTTGACTCCTTGTGACTCTATGGGCTGTAGCCCGCCAGGCTCCTCTGTCCATGGGATTCTCCAGGCAGGAATACCAGAGTGTGTTGCCATGCCCTCCTCCAGGGGATCTTCCCAACCCAGGGATCAAATCCACATCTCCTGCATTGGAAAGAGGATTCTTTACACCTGGCACTTTGGGGAAGACTAAGCATCTCACTAAAGCTCTTTAAATAATTCAGGAGGGTGACCCTGCCATTGGTGCTGTGAGTGGTCCAGGGCTTTCGCCTCTCAGGCCCCCCTCCATCCCCCCCCCCCACACACCTCTCTTATAGCTCTAATTTCATTGATGTTATGAGAATAGGAGTGTGTTGAGATTTTAAGCAAATCTGACTCTGCTTATGTCACTCTAAATCACAAAATGCACTTTGATTTGTTTTCATTAGTGTTTAGTTTTTAATGAAAGTTTTGAAACCTTTTCAGCTCTTCCTTTCCTGTGCCCATATGTGCATTCACATTCATTCATTAGTTAATTCAAGGCAGAGCTGAAAATCGATTACTGCATTTCAGGTGCAAATGGACAGTTATGCTCTAGTCAGCAAACTTCCTCATAAAGGGGCAGATAACCACTGGACCGCTCAGCATGGGGGAGGCATTTACTCACAGCCAGTATACAGATTATTTCCCTTAAAAACTGTACAACTAGGACTTCCCTGGTGCCTCAGTGGTTAAGAATCCACCTGCCAATGCAGGGGACACAGTTTCGATGATCCCTGATCTGGGAAGATCCTAGATACTGAGGAGCAACTAAGCCCGTTCACTATAACTATTGAACCTGTGCTCTAGAGCCTGGAAGCCACAATTACTGATCACACTTGCTGCAGCTACTGAAGCCCTCGTGCACTAGAGTCAGTGCTCCGCAACGAAACCACCGCAACGAGAAGCCGAAGCACCGCAACAAAGACCCAGTGCAGCTAAAAATAATAAATTAAAAAAGCCAACACCCCAAACAGAAGACCGAAAAACTGGCAGCCCCTGTTTTGAAAGAAAAAAAACTCAAGAGGGAGCCAAGACTCCACCCCATATGATGACCCCAGAGCCCACACTGTTCATCTCACATTTGTGGTTTTAAAGAGGTGCCACCAAAAAAATAAATAAATAAAAAATAAATAAAGAGGTGCCACCTGATGGGATCCGGTTGTCTGAATCAGGTGTCGTTTATAAACTGCTTGCACGGTGAAAGAGAAAATCATAGCAGGAGGGTATATATAGTCCAGGTTTAATCTGTGACCCCGATATTACTGCTAAAAAATGCACAGGACTCAGGAAAGTGCTCATAATGTGGATGGAGGGAGAGATTTCTATGTGGCCCAAACTCACCAGAAAAGTATGCTTCAGAGATTGCCGTGTTATTCAACCAACCCCCAAATGAAGAGGCTGTAAGCAAAGTGTCTGCCTGCAGTGCGGGAGACCGGGGTTCGATCCCTGGGTTGGGAAGATCCCCCCTGGAGAAGGAAATGGCAACCCACTCCAGTACTCTTGCCTGGAAAATCCCATGGGCAGAGGAGCCTGGTGGGCTGCAGCCCATGGGGTCTCGAAGAGTCGGACATGACTGAGCGACTTCACTTTCACTTTCAAACAAAGAAACACAACTGCAGACATCTCCATTATAGTGCTGAGGTTTCATGGCTTATTCCCCCCAGTGCTTCTGGCAATTGTGTGTTGGTGAGAAGACACAAAATGCAACACACCACGAGTGCTGGGGGCACACCGAGGGGGCAGGTGGCCCAGCTCACAGGAGGCGCTGCTGCCACTCACGGAGCTGCAGGAGGAGCTGGGGTGGGCCTCTTGGTGCCCTGGTGGATGAGGGTGACCTACGACTGGGAGGTGGGCATCTCCAGGACCCCCAACACCTACTACATGGGCAGCTACTTCAAGGCACCTTAAGAGCCCCATCTGTGATCCCTGTGCCTGACTCACAATGAGGCAGAAAAACATAAAAACCTCGAAGGTTGGAGCAGAGAAAGGTTTACTGCAGGTCCTGTAAGGTGATGGGTGGTTTCTGCCTTTAAAACTCCAAACTCCAAAAGCTCTCAGCAGAGTCCATATCTCGGAAAGGGGAAGGAGGGCGTGGTGAGTTGTGGCAAATGTCTTGGTGCTACAGCCTCTGTTTTTGAGGCAGGGCACCGTCACAATGCTCTTGTAAATCTCCACCAAACCAACTTTCCTCTCTGATGTGAGAAGAAAGGCCAGGTCCCGAGGTGCAGCTGTCACCCTCCCCTGCCCCAGTCCTGGAGAGAAGGCAGAGCTCAGCCAGTGCCTCTCACCCGTCTAGCGGTCACAGCTGAGGGAGCTGGGCACCTAGACCCAGCTGGCCTCAGGCTCCTCAGGATGCCCAGACATGGGGCAGGTGCCATGCAGATGGGTGACGCCATCAGATCACAGAGGCGGGCATGGGGAGAGGGTCGCTGCCACCCGGAGGCCTGGGCTTGGCCAGCATTGGCCTTGGTGAGGCTCCGGAGCCCGCAGGACAGAGCCCCCAGACTGCTCCTGGGCCCCCAGCGCACCCGCTGGCCTGAGGCTGGGTGAGAAGACCAGACCTGCCTCTTATCTCACTGCTCAGCCTGACGACCACCGCTCCCCCGACGGCTGGCTGAGTGCGCCACTAAGGGTTTCTCACTTAGGCCTGGGTCCCTTCACGCCTCCGACTCTAGGCCTGCTTTCAGATGATGGCGTGTCCCCGAGGCCCTTGCCTTTTCCCGCCTGCCGCTTCCACTACGTCGTGGAGGAGTGAGCGGGTGGAAAGGTGCTGGGCTCCCTGAGGAGGGAGGTGGTGCTTTCCGTGTGGGTCGCACGGCTCCCAGGGCAGCTGCCCGGTCTGGGGTGGAGGACGGAGACGCGCACGTTCCCGAGCTGGTAGCCGTCGGAGTGCGCAGCGTGGCCCGGGGCTGAGAGGTCGTAGTGGGGAAGGGCAGCGGCAGCCCTGAGCACGCCGCTGATGGTGACGGACGCTGCTGGTCTTCAGCGGGCCCCGCCCAGGCGTCGGGCGGGAGTCCGGGCCGCACTGAGCTTGGTCCTGCTCCGCGCTGGGCGGGGCTCCGCGCTGGGCGGGGCTCCGCGCTGGGCGGGGCTCCGCGCTGGGCGGGGCTCCGCGCTGGGCGGGGCTGCGGGGCCCCGCCCCCAGAAGAGCCGCGTGCTCGCTGCACCACCGGAAGGCTCTCCCCGGCCCCAGCCCGCTCGAGACTCGGGGGCCCCGGGCGGAGTCGACACTCTGACTTGCAGTCACCTCTTCTCTCTCCCTTGCTTTACTGGGAATCAAAATAAAGCAACACTATGGGGGCAAAAACGGAAAGAAAATGCAGCTCACTGAAAAGCAAGTAAAGAGGGCGTGAGGTGAGTGTCCGCCGCAGCGCAGCGTGGACGGCGGGCAAGTCTGGGTGAGGCTCCCACAGGTCTGTACGTCTCTGCCCGCCTCTGTCTCCTCTCTGAGGGAAGCAGAATCTCCTCAGGCTCCCTCCGCTTCCCCTCCATCGCCTTCGTGTCTTCCCTGTCAGTGTTTAGTCACTTGGTTTCCTCGAGAGCCTGTGGGTCCAGCCGCCTCAGGGGAAGAAACGTTTCTTGTGGGTTTTGGTCACTCATCCTTTCCCAGAGTGGGTCATTCATCCCAAAGGCATGAATTCCGTTAACTGTTTGTTCCTCACTGACTATACAAAGAAGAAGGTGAGCCAGGCAAGCTTCGTCCTCTGTCAGGAACCTTGACCCAGGAAGAGGGATTAGACGAGGTCAGAGAAACCGGAGAGGAGGAGGGAGGGCCGCGGTGACGGCTGTTGACACGGAGATCTGCCCGTGGGAGAAGTCACACAAGTCTGGCCGTGGCACTCCTGTGCTCCTTTGTCCCCATGGGGCCCCCGCCCCAGGAAGAGGAGGTCGGAAGGTAGGAGGCAGGCTCCCTGTGCACTCCTGGATGGCCAGTGAAGCGTGAATTCCCCGGTCTCACGCCCCGCGTCACTCGGACAGGTCCCGTGTCCCTGTGACCAGCCGTCCACTCACTGCTGTCAGCGGCTGTATTCTGCCACATCCCCACGCTTTGCACATGCAGTTTCTTTGACCTTCTGTCTGTTCTGTGTTTCCAACTCCAGCTGCTTGAAGACTGTACTTAATTTCACTTTTTGTTGGTGACCGCCCAGTCAGTCAGATTCACTCCTTCTTCTGAGGGCTTCCCTGGTGGCTCAGGGAAGAGGTAAAGAATCCACCTGCCAATGCAGGACTTACAGGTTTGATCCCTGTGATAGGAAGATGCCCTGAAGAAGGCAGTGGCAACCCCCTCCAGTATTCTTGCCTGGGGAATCCCATGGACAGAGGAGCCTGGAGAACTACAGTCCCCATGGTTGCAAAGAGTTGGACATGACTGAGGGACTCAACAACAACCTTGTTTGCAGCTATTTTGCTATACACTCATTTTATTGAACTATAAGTATGAGTTAAGAGCCCTGTGGAGGTCAGGAACGCAGGTGTGTGACAGCCTCTGTGTGGCAGACATCTGGCAGGGGGTAGGTCATGATCATGGCACTTGAGGAAGAACCAACCTGTTGTTTGAGCTGGGTTTGAGTCCTGGGTGGGGTTTGACAGGAGAGGGAGCCACACGGCCATGGCAGATGCAGACCTGTCTGTGACCTCCTCTCGCTCTCAGCCCCTGGCCCCACGCTCCTCCCTGGGCTGGGATCTCTTCACTGAGGAGGCGTTCTGCTCTTTGCCTAGTTTTGTCACCTGTCTTATCAGTGGTCACTCAACGCCTGTGCTCTGCTTTCTGAGAAGGACTTGATAATGTAATCAGTGTTGCGTGTTCATAGCCATTAACAAGTACACACAACATATATATAGGTGTTACTGTACAAAAACAAAAGTGGTAGGTCTGAAAGAAAACCATTATCTATAGAGATAGTGATTTTTATGGTCTTCATTACCATCAAGAAAAGTTTGTTGTGAAAATATTCAGAACCAGATAGACATTCCTTTTCTGGCATCTCTACTATTAGATGAGGGGAATTCTGTGAATGTTGATACCCTTGATCATGGGTCCCAGCAAGTTCAGAGTTAAATTCTGAGTCATAGAAATACAAATGTTTTTAGTCAAAGCATGTTTCTGTCTTACTTTCTTATTTATCAGCAATGATTCTCTGAGTGCCTACTGCATGCCTCTTTTGCAGTCTGGGGACACAGCCATGAGGAAAGGGGGCTTCTCTGCCCTAAGGAGCTGCCATTTTAATAGGGAAAAACAAAAAGTGGAAGGGCTCCACTGTTGGCTCAGACAGTAAAGAATCTGCCTGCAATGCAGGAGACCCAGGTTCAATCACTGGGTCGGGAAGATCCCCTGGAGGAGGGCATGGCAACCCACTCCAGTATTCTCGCCTGGAGAATTCCATGGACAGAGGGGCCTGGTGGGCTACAGTCTATGGGGTTGCAAAGAGTCAGACATGACTGCGCGACTGTACACACGCGCAAAAACTAGGCAATAGAAGATGTCAGGTTCTGATTTCTTAGGCTTGGTTTGGTCATTGATCTTCTGTTAGTTGATCTTGGGAAATTGTAGTGTGTTTTATCCCTCGGATCACCTTCCAAAGTTGTTAGGGAACAAGCGGCACAGCTGGATGGGTGTCCACAGACCGCGGCTGTTCCCACGGTGGGGTGGGGTGACAGTGACAGCAGGAGGACACTTTGGGCCAGCAGTGCTTCAGACTCTCGAACTGTGCAGTGGAGGAGCTGCGGGCGCCCTCCTCCAGCCAGTGATGATGACAGTCACACGTGGTGCCAGACTCTTAGTCATGAGCAAACATTCGGTAAAGCACGGGTTTGGGAGGGTCTGAAAATGCTAGGAGGCATCGTCGCTGCCTGTCTGTCTTGACCTTCGGCAGGCAGCTGTCCACACCTGGTGTACCCCAACGAAGCATTGCCACCAGATGCTAACTCCCGTGGTCACCTATGCCGTTGCACCCCTGTGCATATTTCATCCATTCTTAGGAATTTCCACTCAACTTATATGTTATTTCTCACTGTTAATTTTATGGTGCACAACTTCTCCCTAAGTTCACATTATCTGGTCTGTTGGACCCATATTCAACTATGAAATATAGAGCCTATAAGTAAGTTTTCGCTGAACATTTAGTATTTCTTATGCATATCACATTCTGACATAAGCAGTTTTTATCTTATTAAATTGTCTCAGCATTGCTATCTTGGTGGTTGGGAAAACACTTATTTTTGAGTTCCTCAATATGTAATAGACATAAATGTATATGATTCACAGATGAATGCATAACTAATAGGGAAGACAGAAAGATAGATTTTAAAATTATTAGTAACATTTGTGTTTAGAGCTGCTGACCTTGGGGGATAATTATCTGAAAACAAGACCTATGCTATCCAGGATAACCCTCTATTTTGTGGGTCAGAAAACACTTGTGGACACCCCCTGCACCGTCTCCAGAGGCAAGGCACATTGGCTGTTGAAATGTACTGATAAAAAGATTCCCTGATTGAGACATTGAGGAAGATAAAGCACCTCATGAGAAGCAATAGAGTCTTGGAGGGAGAAGAATTCAGTTGCTAACAATGATAGCTTGCCTTCCCCAAGAAATGCCACTTGCAAGTTTTGAGCTGAAGGCTTTCCCTTATGAAAGTAATAGGCCTTCAGTAGAAATTGTACTTGGAAGTTTGAACTTGTTTCTTTTCCCACACCAGTGACATAATCCCATCCTCTCTGGAGATGCTGGGAAGTGGCCACTGTGCCCAGTCAGACCCATGATCATGAGGGTAAACAACTGATGTACTTACAACCCTTCTGAACCCGGACAACTTCTCTGCTTTTCAGTTCAGTAGTCAATCACTTACACAGGATACGCAACACTTTATTGAAAAGCAGGCTTTGCGTTAGATGGTTTTGCCCAACTGCAGGCTGATGGAAGTGCTCTTGGGACACTGAAGGTGAGACAGGCCGGAACCTGGGGCCCTTTCCTTCAGTGCTTGCACCTGGACAGTCGTCTCCTCCAGCAACAGAATACAAACAAGCTATAAGAGCTTAAAAATAACTGCACGAGCAGTTGGGGCAAATTATGGACGTGCATGCTCAGTTGCTTCAGTCATGTCCAACTCTTTGTGACCTCATGAACCATAGCCCACCAGGCTCCTGTGTCCATGGGATCCTCCGGACAAGAATACTGGAGTGGGTTGCCTTGCCCTCCTCCAGGGGATCTTCCTGACCCAGGGACAGAACCCACTTCTCTTATGTCTCCTACATTGGAAGGCAGGTTCTTTACCACTAGTGCTACCTGGGAAGCCCTAAATTATGGATGGCAAGATACAAAGACACCACAAAGCCCAGCTGCCACGTCTGAAGCATCTGAAACGCAAGCAGGCGCTGCACATGCCCTCTGCACACGCCAACACCGGGGGTCGGGGGGTGGCGCACACCACCTAAGCCTCCCTTCCAGCTCGGCCCCTGGACACACCAC